TGTCACACTGCTGGTACGTGTGAATCCGCATCAAATTGTTCCTTATAGACGCTGTTTAGTATCTATGATGTCATCTGAGCAGTTAATTTATCGTCTACATGTCATTCATGTGTCTTACAGCCAAGGAGTGTGGTGGGGTGCTGACAGACCAGCAGAGGATCATTCAGTCTCCCGGCTTCCCTGAGGAGTACCAGGACGAACAGATCTGCTACTGGCACATCCGTGTGCGCCTGGGCCAGAGGATCCGCCTCCACTTCATGGAGTTCGATGTGGAGGATGACACAGGCTGCCTGGCAGATTACCTGGAGGTGTACGACAGCTACGACGATGTCTCCGGCTTCGCTGGGAGGTGAGGATCACTGAGGGGGAAAGTAGGAAGTATCTAAAACGTTTTTGAACTGAGACAGGATCTTCATCTGGACATGTGATGACGGGCAGGGTAAATATAGACAGAGGTGTGGGCTCGAGTCACATGACTTTGACTCAAGTCAGACTCAAGTCACAAATTTGAAGGCCGTTAACATTTCCTGATCTGTTTGTTTACAGATTCTGTGGCGATTATTTACCTGATGACATCATCAGTACAGGTGAGACGTCCTCATCATTTCATACACTGCATTATTCCACACAGACGAGTCTCTGGATTTTTAAAACCAAACCTTTGTTTTACAGGAAACGTGATGACGCTGAAGTTCCTGTCTGACGCCTCAGTCACAGCCGGTGGCTTCCAGTTCCAGTACACTGCCTTTAATGCGTCTCTGTACTCACAGAATCACACCCAGTATCTTCACTGAGCGGTGGTTTCAAACACTGATGTAATCCTGTTGCTGTATTTATGATGTCATTGGTTACATCATGTACTGTAAGTAGTCAGTCTTTGAAGCTGATGAATGAAATGAATCTATCATTAAATGGTGTTTCTGACGTTGTTCTCGTGTTTAAATAAAGTCAACAGTCCTGACTATGCGTCCATTCGTCCTGAGGCTTCATTTACATAAAACAAATCTGGTGTTATTAAACTATTGTAATCTGAGGTACTCTTCTTAATATTCTTCTTCTTTCTTCTTTCTTCTTCTGAGGAAATCATACTTCCCATGGGTGAAAACTCACCAAACTTTGCACAAAGGTCCAGTCTCATGCCAGATATCCTCAGCTGTAAACTCAAGCCAATAGTCCTGATGGTGGCGCTACAGCAAGCGTCTAAAGTTCAAAACTTTGAAAATTCATAACAAATCAACCATACGTGCTACAACATTTGTAGTGGTGTGTTTTTTACATTTAAACCTATTAAAAATAATGAAGTTCATCACTTTGTTTTTTTCAAAAACTGTAAAACTTCTTAAACCTATCTCCTCCCACAATTTTTGCTCAATTGACACCAAACTTGCTACAGAGCATCTTCAGACTGTCCTACACAAACTACCCACACAGATTTTTGATTTTTCAAAAATTGAGCCTACAGTGCATCAAAATGTTTGACTGTAAACGGTACTGTAAACATATACATGCAAATTCTTGCTAAATAAATCTTCAATGTTCATGAAAAAAAGACAAAATTCTAGAGTCATGGTAGATGATGTGTGGCAAATTTCAGAATTTTATCTCAAAAACTGAATTTTTGACAGCATTTTGAATTTTGCTCTAATGTGAACAATTGGAGTCAATGTAAAAATGGCAATTTTAACATCAGTTTTTCACTTATGGAGCAAATCAATCATTGTTACAAACAAATTACCAACATCTCCATGCTGTCTAGATGCAATATGTGTATTTTCAGATTTTTGTTTCGATAACTGAATTTTTTACAGTGGTTTGAAATCTGCTTTTCCATGCATGGACGGCTGCTAAACCTGCACGTCTGGCTTAGTCAGTTTGTGAAGCTACACATGAATTGTCACTGACTAATTAGATCAGTGAGATAGAAATTGATTCTTAGTCTCAGAGGTTGTGAGTTCAAGCCTCAGCTGATGCAAAAGGCAGATTGTGTTGCTAAATGTCTTCCAATTCTTCTGCTTGTTGCTCAGAATTGCCTAAAAATGCCCGGACTCGACCCATCGCTGCCATCGGTTTACTTTCATAAACCTTAACTATGCAAAGTATTTTCATATCAAGTATGGTATTTGGTATTTGGTAAGAGGAATCTGAGTTAACTGTTGCATCTGTGACGACAGTAGCTGCAGCAGAGGCATTATGTTTTCGGGTCGTCCGTCTGTACATCTATCTGTCCCATTCTCATGACTGCAATATCCTCAGAACACCTCGAGGTAATTTGTTCTAATTTGGCACAACTGTCAATTTGTTCTCAACAGTGAGCTGATTATGACCTCACACAACATGTTTTTGGCCAAACTGCAAGAATTCATACACTAATTACAACAAAACTGCACAGATGTGTCTAACGGGATAAAATGAGGTGATGACATCTTATATCCAAAAGGTCAAAGGTCAGCTTGACTGTGACATCATCATATCTCAGGAACAGAAGGGGAGACATTCGTTCAGACACTGAACTGGTGACTCTGATCTTAAAACTGTGCTGATGTGCAAACAGGAAGTGGGCACATTTCTCCATGCTCTATGGGATTGTCCCATGGTACTAGCTTTTTGGAAGGTGGTGCTGAAAGGCCTTGAAGGGTGGCTCAGAGACGACCTCTACTGGAATCCCCACAAGTATGTTTGCTGGGGATAGATCTCTCATGCCACCAGGTGTGACTAAAGCAGAGTTGGGATTGATAGTAGCAGGTCTTATTGTAGCTGCCAGGCTTGTTCTGTGCAACTGGAAGAGCCCACATATAGGCCAGAGTTTACAGTGTGGCTTAAAGTCATGACAGAGACTGCTGCCTTTGAAAACATGATTGCCAGGGTGAATGAGGTTCCAAATAAAAATCAAATAGTCAAATATGGCAAACGTTTATGGCTCATATTAGAGGGGCAACGTCTTAGAAGGGGTACAGGAAGAGGGGCTGGTGGACAGTATGTGTATATGTTTGTGTGTATACATATGTATAAGAATTGCAGGGGTGCTGGGGGGAGGTCTTTGCGGCTGCCTTTTTAAGTTGTTGGTTGTTTTGTTTTTGGTTTTTGTTTTCTTTATTTGTTTTTCTTGTTTGTTTGTTCGTTCATTTTGTCTTTTCCTTTTCTTAACTGACTGAAAATATGTTAAAACCAATAAAAACATAAATGACAAAAAAAAAGAAAGAAACTGTGCTGATTGTATAGACCAGCAACCTGCGGCTCCAGAGCCACATGTGGCTCTTTGGCCCCTCTGCAGTGGCTCCCTCTGACTTCAAAAAAGTTATATGGAAATTAAGTGTTTTTTAATTTTTTTAAGATTTTAATTTTCAATCACCGCTGCTGTTGGCTGAAAGTGATTCTTAAATTAACCACAACAGCTGATCTTGAGTCTCCGTAGCTGAGCTAGCGATGAATTCTGAATCCAAAAAAAGGGAAAAATTGAGAATTTAATGGTGTGTTTACAGGTGTGTTTGCTTCCACCACCGACACTGCAAAATTAAAAAACCTAATAATCATGGAGGCCCATTGCAGAGTGACCACGTTGTGTTAAAACATATTCATAAATGGGGCATCAGTGGCTTAGTGGATAGAGCAGGCGCCCCATATACAAGGCTCTTGCCGCAGCGGCCTGGGCTCGAGTCCAGCCCATGGCCCTTTGCTGCATGTCACTCCCTCTTTCTCTCCCCCTTTCACACTCACCTGTCCTGAGGCTAAAATGCCAAGAAAAATATCTTTTAAAAAAACAAAAAAAACATTTTAATAAAGGCTCACTGAGACTAAGTAGGCTGTGTTACCTTCATTATAAGGCTCAAATATGTTTGTGCGGCTCCAGGCATTTTATTTTTATTTTTGGTTTGGACAAAAATGGCTCCTTTGATAGTTCAGTTTGCCTGCCCCTGACCTAGCAGTACACTCAGCTTATTAACTACCACCACACCACTGAACACAAGGACAGACACGAGTAAAAAGAAAATAATATGGTGTATGCAAAGCTAGAATAAAAATACAAGTAGAAAATAGAAACTATACAAGAGCAATTAAAGTTAAAGGTTAAAGTGACAGTGGAGGGATAAACAGCAGCAGAGTCAGCGAGGTGAAATGTATATAAGCTTAAGTCATGATACTCAGTGTTTGTCTGTGTTAATATAGAAATATAATAAATCTAATAATATAATATATAGGCTAACATGTCTTTTGATATTGCCATGTGTCTAGGTTTGTCTCAGGTTTGAATGTTTCCTCATAAATAACTTCCAGTGAATAAGGTTAAGGAGGTGTCCTTCAAAATTATCCATAAATATCACCCTGCCAATCACTACATGCATATATATATATATATATATATATATATATAAGAAAGACATCAACACAAAGTGCAACAGCTGGATAAACAAAATCAACAAACAATACAGTTGGACACTTGATATCTGCATGTCTTATAATATCTTTGTGCAGTGTGGTTTCCCCCTGGCTCTCTGCTATTGGTGTGTTTACATAGTTTAACTGTTTACTGAGTCATTTTACACTCTGTTGTCTCAATAAAGAATGTGAAGAGGACTGAATGACTTTATTTCGAACCAAAATAAAAACATAAAAACATTATAACAAACAAACAAGACACAGATTATAGTGTCCAACAAGGAGCAGGTCGAAGTAAAACGTATATGTCCCGTTTATGTTCATACATTTCTGTTTTAAACTCATTTATTATTTCAACAAATTTATTTACAACTAATACACAACTATTCCCAGTTTGTTTATCACCCAGTTAGATAAATAAAAAATAAACATAAATAAATAATATTTTGTGGGTGTTAATTGTTGTTCGGGACAAATAAAGTTCTACTGAATTTAATTATTATTATTGTTATAATACTTTTCGGTCGCATCTCTGTCAGCCTGCTGTTTCCCTTATAAGGTAAAAGGGGCGAGCCCGGTTGTGACGTAGCGGGGTCAAAGGTAATTTTGTACGTCGGCGTGGTGGTTTGGCGCCAGCAATTTCGCGGGGCAAGAGGAGCACAAGAGAAAAAGGAAGCTAAAATAGTGACGACAAAGAGCTGGAGACAGACACCAGTAAGAGAACTGGGCTGTGGTGTTGTACTGGTTTGAATGGTGTGTGTGTGTCGCTGCTGCTTCCTACGCTTCGTCCTCAACTCCGAGGTGAGCCGTAACTGTGTGTGTATGTGTGTGTGTGTGTCGAAAGTGTAAATATTTGTTCGCTAGCTTTGTTTATTTTGTGACTGGTGTGTGTAAATAACTCGGGCATGTGCACCGGGAGGTGAGCCGGTGTCACCCCGGTGTCACCTCGCTGTCTCCCCGCTGTTAGCGCACTTTTTCCCGCAAGAAACTTTCCCAGCTCCAGACCCGAACACGTTAGCATGCTAGCTAACTTTAAGCTAGTTACCGTTAGCAGGCTGCTGGCTAGTGCTGCCCGACAAGATGCGTTCACTGACTCGGTCCCTGAGTAGTTACACATGTGAAATCATGCTGTGGTGATGAAGCTGTGTTGTTTACATCTGGACACACCTGGACACACCTGACGGGCCTGGTTTGGTTCCTCTGTGTGTGCGAGAGGAAGCTGCTAACTGGGACTGATGGCCTGTGTGTCCACACACACACACACACACACACACACACACACACACATATCAGTAACCTTTTGTCTTCATGTGTCTCACGTTTGCAGCTCTGGATACAGTGGAGGGTGAAGGCTGCTCCACATAAATCTCTCTGAGGTGAGCTATGGCATACTGTCTGTCTGTCTGTCTGTCTGTCTGCTAAGTCATCATCTGGGTGGTGTTTATGAGGAGCTGATGCAAACCACTGATCAGTCTGAGCAGGCACAATGAGCAAACACAGGCCACACACTTTATTATTCACAGATATGTCAGGTTTAACAACGGAGGCCTGAACTATGACGCAGGATTTGGAGTTAGGCGGTAACTTCAGGGTTAACTCAGGGTTTTCAGTATTACAAAGCTGGTTCCCTTTTTAATCAGGATAAATCACTGTGGTAACTGATGCTGAACAGTTAACTTAAGAGTACCTGATCACAGCCTGTCAACACCGCGACGTCTGTCCAATCAGATCACTGAAGAAAAAAGTATCCTTAGTGTTGTCACGGTACCAAAATTGGAACCCACGGGACGATACCAATGAAAATATCACGGTTCTGAGTAGTATCAGGATACCACAGCGAAAATGAGGCAGATGTGCCTTTTGTCATTTATAAAAAGATAAATCACTTTTCTATAATACATCAATGATATTTCAATGGAATAAATTACTTATTGACTTATTCATACTTCAACAACAGCATCAATAAGTGATTAACATAGGGGGGATCAAAATAAAATAAATAAATAAAATAAGAATCAACCAGCCACCCTCCTCCCCTGACAAGTAAAGAACAGTCCCTTCATAAGTAAAGAACAGTCCCTAAAGTGCGGTGAGGTTTGTGGACCGTTACCTGCCACAAAGAGAGAAATGTGAACGGCTCGTTTCTCCTCTGACACGCCACATACCTGTGTGCCGCCACAGCTGGGCTGTCCAGGTACTACTGGGCAGTCATGACACCAACGAAATAGGAAATTACTGGACCTGGAGCCGGACTTCTTGGTCACCGGTAAACCGCGTTATCTTGCGGTGGCCATAGTGCTCCGCCGTTTTTCTGTCTGTGACCCCCGTTCAACCCACAACCGGCAGGATTCGCCTTGAAGTGTTTTCATTTGGTTTAATGCAGTCGTCTTACATGCTGATCACTGCTCCTCTCGTTAATGTTAATCTCTGGGTGATGGCGCCAGTCAGTATTCACAGTATACGTCATCTTCACCTCACAGATGGAATTATTTAGACATTAAATTAAATTTGTGAAGATGAATTAGTACAAGTTAACTTTAGCTCGTCCGCGTGCCACACTGACCTCGCAGTTGACTTCCACCTCTTTTGTTCCGCCAACATCATGTTACAAACAAACATTTATATAATCGATTATCGACATTTGTGATACGGCATCGATTCACGATGACCCACTGTACCTCTGAGCCGCAGCCGCCCCAGAAGCTGGAATCCGGAAATGTTGCTGCTTTTCCTACCACAAAATTACACACAGATTATCAGATGAGTTGGCTCTTTCTGTGTTTCTTGACCTTGATTGGACTCGTCCTGCTCTTTCTCCCCTTTGTCCAACATGTCCTCTGTCCTCCCTTCTCCTGACTCTGTTCTGTGTGTCTCTTTCTTAAAGCCTTGAGGACGTGAGTAATAATGATGGCGACCGCAGAGCCTCCAAGCAGCTCCAGCTTCCTTCCTCTGCTAGAGTCTCTGGAGGACAACGCTGCTGGACAGCCCGAGCAGACAGACGCCTACCTCACCATCGCAAAGTATGTTAACCGTCCATGTCTTTGACCGTCCTCTGAACATGTCCGAGTCCCTGTTTAGAGTATGAGTCAGATAATAATTTGCTTTTCCTCTCCAGTCGGCTCAGTGGAGAAGAGGGCCGACAGTTTCTCCCTGCAGTTGAAAAGCACTTTTCTCGTCTGGGTAAAGTCATCTTGGTGAGTCGTTTAGATATCGTTAACACATGTGACATATTCACATTAAAGCTCTGGATGTCTGTGACACATAACTCTGTTCTCGTCTCCTGTTTTTCATTCCCAGGCTCACATCACCAGTCCGAACGCAGAGCTGAGCCAAGCTGCTCTGCAAGCTTTAGGATTCTGTGTGTATCATTCTCACGTCGTCTCTGGAGTGCCTGGTGCGTTCATCTACATATATTTGACATTATTAATTTCAGATGTGATTTTATCGTCTAGGAACGAGGTTGATTCTGTTTTCATTTGTTTTCCAGAAACGTTTGCAGCAGAAATCCTCTCAGCACTTTGCTCCCTGGTGGTGAAGTCGACAGATAAGAACACATGCACTAGAGCATTATGGGTCATCTCCAAACAGAACTTTCCTCCAGAGGTGGTCAGCAAAAAGGTGAGTGTCAGCAGAGGGTTCACCCTCCAGTTATCTTAGGGGCAGATTGACCTGGGAGAAAAGTCATTGCATAGTGAACCCTGGTCATAGGTCAGCCCTGGCACAGAGAGAAAACGGACAACATCAGAGTTCATCAATACTGTGGTCTTTTATAATTTAGCCTCGGGGCTCGTTTAATACTGGGTCTGTACCCATCCCTCGGCAGTGGTGGTGGGTTTTTAGGGGTGAAAGGTGTCACATTGCTGCTGTAGTATGATTCATGTTGCTTCACACACCCAGGTGCCGTCCATACTGGGAACACTGGAGAGTGTGTGGAGCAGAGAGGACATCCAGTCTGTGGTGATGGAGCACGAAGCCTTGAACGTTATCATCAGGTAAAAGAACACTTGGTCATGTTATAAATGTATGATAGATACATGTGGACATTTTTGGGCTCTGATGGTTTTTTGTGACTTTGTGATTACAGGACTGTTCACACTGTATGACACTGAATAGTAGAGAAGGACTTTGTGTATGTTGTGACGTCCTTGCTGACGTGCTGACTGAGATCTGAGTCGGTTGTGATGTTTCCTGGTATTTTCAGGATGCTGGAGCAGGTCCCGGCCCAGATGGGCGATGGAGCGCTGCAGTGGGCGAAGCTCATCATCCCGTTGGTGGTCCACTCTGCCTCCAAGGTGCGTCTACGAGCCGCAGCAGCCATGGAGATGGGCATGCCTCTGCTGCTGGAGAAACAGATGGAGGTGGCTGCTATCATGGAGCCAATGATGTCCTCGGTGAGTGTGTGTGTGTGTGTGTGTGTGTGTGTGTGTGTGTGTGTCAGTCAGTAACAGCAGTGATTGTCTTACTTGTATCATTGCTGAATGATAATTGAAGGTGCGATCAACACATTGCAAAAGAAAAAAAACATTTTATTTCCACCCACCATCAGGGTCTGAAATTATCTCCCACCAAGCACCTGATGTGGTAGATTTGCTGTGTGGTGAGGCGGCTGTCCGCCACACCTGCAGATTTGTTTGTACCAGAACAGTCATGTAAAAAAAAAAAAAAACTATGCTCAACATCTTTATCGCAGTTTGGTGTCATTTATGGTTGCACTGCTTTGTCCTGCTGTCCATGTGTTGGAGATTGACACTAACACAGGAACTGACCTCATGGTGCGTTCACATGCACCTCATAAACTTGGTAAACTCTACTCACATGGATATAAAGGTTGTTAAATAGTTTATATTTTTTCTGTTTGTTGAAATACGAACATCTGCCGTTACTCTTTTGTTTTTTCACTACACCATTTTTAATAATTAGATGCAAAAATCACAACAATATGGCGGACATTTTAAATAAGCAGATCTTTAAAAATTAGTTTATGTGGCGTTTATGAGCGATTTAGGAGAACTTGCCATATTTACCACTTTTCCTGTACTTTGAATTTTCTCTTTTCTCTTCAATTTATGAACAGTTCAGACCTGTTGGAGGATTTGCAACTAGGTTTGCTGTTGTACAAAATAAAAGTTTATCACTCATGGATTGCAACAGTGTAGAGAGTTTGAGTTTGAAAATGATAAAGGATGCATGAATATTCAGCATGCATGATTTACTCGCACCACCAGTCTTCTTCTCATTGAACACCTGGGGAGAGGAAAAGGAAACGAGCACCTTAAGTAACTCTGACGATCCTTCGTTTGTCTTCACAGAAACTGATCCCAGAGCTGCAGAAGCTTTTCATGTCCAAGAATGAAACAAACGTCCTGAAGCTCTGGCCTTTATTTGTGAAACTGCTCGGGAAGGTAAAGTGTAAACGTGTGCATGTTCAGTCTCTGAAATAATAGCAGATGAACCTGTGACTAAAGAACTAATCAGTCGTGAATTTGTAGTAAGGCCGACAGAGGCAGTTTAAAAAAAAAAGAAGAAGCCTGTCCCAGATTCTCAGAATCAAACATGACGTCTTTAGATGTCTTTATTTATCCGATCAATAGAGCAAAGTCTTACTCCTTCCAGTATGCAGAGAAGAGAAGAAGAGACTAAAGATCTGTGTTTGAGATGAACTAAAGGTCTGACAGTTCTCAGACAGATATTTTCAGTCACATCAAAGTGATTTAAAAATGTATTTCCTGCCCAGTTGCTGCACAGAGGAGGCCCCTTCATCAACTCTCTGCTGCATCTGGAGGAACTTGGTTTCCGCAGCTCCTCCCCGACCATCAAGAAGATCGCCTTCATCGCCTGGAAGAGCCTCATAGATAACTTCGCCCTCAACCCAGGTGAGGCCTCCACTCTCTGCTCCCAGTTTGTTTCCCTCAGACTGTATGTCTGTGTCTCATAGCTGAATTTTTATTCTCTTGTCAACCTCTGAAGACATCCTGTGCAGCGCCAAACGTATGAAGCTCCTGATGCAGCCGCTCACATCCATCAACGTCAGGACGGAGGTCCTGCTGCTCACCAAGGTGGAGGTCTGGTGGTACCTGGTGGTCCAACTGGGGCCCAACCTGTCCCCCAACTTTGACCAGGTTAGATGCTTTAATTATTAGCCAGTCTGCATCAGCAAAACCAAGACAAAGATCTCACATCATGTTCATTATCTGTAGGAATGATTAAAAATATTAAGGAGTTATTCACTCTGGGCTCCGAGCTGAGTCTCACATCGTCGCACTGTTGACTGTGATTGCACCTTTTTACCGTCCCGGCTTCTTGACTTGTCAAAGCAAAGTAGGGGCAAATCTTTGGGGATTTTTAGGAAGGCTACTGCAAGTGTTAAGTAAAAGATGTGTTTATTTGTTTTGATGGTGCTGCATGAAGCAGATATACTGACAGTCTCACTGTAAAGTCTTAGCTAAATGGGTCAAAACTGAGTTAAATGTGTGTTCAGGCTTATTATACACATACATAGTTTGAGTAGTATGAAGGGACGACTGGATCAATATGTGACATTAATCAATATTGTTTTTGCTTCATTTCCTCTTTGAAAAATCCCTGAGTTTTGCGTTTGAGAAAGGTCTGTCTGAACCATTATAATTCTGCATCAAGTGAAAAAACATTCTGGGTTGTTTGTAATTCTATAAACCAGTCACAGTTGTCTTTGGCAGTGCAGAGCCAAGAATGCAGCAACGGTGCTCTTTAGGGTCAGGAACCATTCACATGGGGTGCCTTGAAATCAGCACTAGTTCTCAGTGGTACCTTTTTTTTCAGTCAGCTTCCTGATTTGGGGCACTTTCGCCTGCTGTCTGAAGTTGAACTCAGCGGCTTTGCGGCTCTGTTGTCGGCCCATGGGACACTTTGTGGCACCTCCACCTCTTGTCTAAACCCAGTGTTCCCACCTAGTTGCGCTCTCAGGTCCCAGAGTTTGCACTGATGGATTTAATGTGATGAAGTACTCGATGATGACTAGTGCCACTGCAAAATAGTGTCAGGAGGGAACTTTTTTTTTGTTGGGTCAGGGACATTTGACCTGTTGAGTTAGTACTGACTATTTGTCTTACTAACATATTTGTCTCTTTGCAGGTTTCTGTTCCTCTGCTCCAGTGCACCATTGGCTCCGACGCTTCATCAGTCCCGAGCACCCCCTCCAGAGCGGGCGCTCAGAATGGTGCTGTCACACCCAGCACACCCAAGACTGGTATGTTTATACATCCACCTCCCTCCACCCAGACACATCACTCCCCTGCAGCATATGACACACTCGATCATCTTGAAGGAGACTGTAACGTGTTGGTTTTTTGTCCTCCTGTTACAGCCACTCCAGGCTTCAACAGCACCGCCAATTCGTCTCGGTTGGGCCTGAACTCCAGCGTCCAGGTCCCCACCTCCTTCCCCTCCATCCAGCTGCTGGGCCTGGAGATGCTGCTTCACTATTTCCTGGGACCAGAGGTCATCGCCGCAGCAGCAAAGAACAAACTCGTCCTGAGTCTTGGTGAGAGTCAGAGCTGCACAGCGCCAGCTCATACATGATGCTGTAACAGCCATGTGCACTGACTTGCTCTGTTTCCCACATGAGCCAGACTCTCTTTTTTCTTCCCAGAGCCCCTGAACCACCTGCTCCTCTCTGGTGCGTCCTCTTTCACTAAACACGCTGCTGTGCTGACGTCCAGTATCAGAGATGGATTCATCAACGTCGGCAAAGACGCATCAGGTAAACGTCACGGTTTTACTGGACGGAGCTGATTGAATTTCTAGTTTTCTAAACAGTTAATGGAATATCCTCTCTTGCTCCTCCTGTCAGTGTTTGGCAGAACGTCAGTCATTGTTGCTCGAGTTGATTGAAGCCAGTGTCATTGCCAAGAGCTCCACATAAACTGTAGGAGGCCGTTGTTACGTAAATGCTCAAGAGTTCACAAATATGGAAACAGCTGTTCTTGACAATTATTGACTGAGTCGTAGAAGAAATGAAAAAATATCATTAGTGGGCTGATTGAAGAGAATCAGTAAGTGGGTTTTACGTGCACATTTGTCAAACCAAACCAGGCCAGCCAATGACTGTTAAAAATTTTGCACGACAAAGACATCAGGCAGGGAAAGTATGAGGGGAGATTAGTGCTTGTAGCACCTTGTCGTTGTGTCCAAACCAGTTGTGTTCAAAGTCTGACTGCAACTGAATTGTCAAAGTATGTTAGTTTCTGTAAAAGACTTGTTTTCATCACTGATGATATGCAAGCCTTGTTCAAACATGTGGGTACTGACTGCTGATCACGTGTCTGTAAATCAGGTTATCTCAGAGTGTGTTCTCAGATTTCCTGCTTTTACATCTTTAACCTAAAACCTGCCGTCCTGAGTGCATGAAAACTAACGGTTCAAACTCTTCTTCTCCGACAGATTCTCTTCTGGCCCTCACTTGGACGAATCTTGTCCGGTTTGTCAACTTAACAATAGAGTCTGGTGAGTACTTGTATCTTAAGTCATCTTGATCACACGTGATATGAGGAGCACAGCCAAAAGAATGTAAATCCATGTTACGCACGTGATCCATGTTTATATCAAATATTCAGTCAAACAGTCGTAGCTTTTCTGCTCTCCAGTCCGGTCACTAACATGCACAGTTGTGGTTACATTTTTATAAGCAGCTGTTGTAGCATCAGACTCCTCGTTTAAGTTTGCACACACTGTTTGGAAAATGTTTGTCGTTACAAAAGCTGTTGCTCTCTGGGCTGATTTTCTTTGTCAGCATTTTATACTTGAGTCGTAATACAAAAGCTTTCTGTGAATGAGCGACCTCTGCCAGTTTACTGAGTTTATAAAGATGGTTTGAGAATGTGCTGTAGTGCCACAAGTCCTTATTTAGAATCGATTAGATGCTAAAACCTTTCTCATTTGTCTTGTTTATTGTTGTGCCTCGTCAGGGCTCGAAATGCCACATGCAAAGTAGTGAATGTAAAATATGAGCTGTGGACACGATTCTCTGAGAAACCCTTCAGATGTTCCTTTGACTGTTTTAAAGTTTCACTGTACATTACTGTAGTTTTGTTTGGATCTGTACACAGCTTTTGCAGAACTGCAGATAAAGAAGGACAAATAACACAAAATGGTGCAGTACAAAAAAAGTCAGTGCATGTAATTCTAAGAAGATAATCTTTGATTACTTGCAAATTCCAGCGATGAAATGAAGGGACAAACAGAACAATGGCTCCACTGCTTTATGTTTTAATCGATAATGATCTCAGCTGTTATTGTGGCTGCTGCTCAGCAGTGTGGGGATCTTAAAGTTGTGGTTCCCGCCTTGTAGCTCCACATAGAGCACTCTGATTGGGTCTGGGATCTGTCATTTGAGAGGAGGACCAGTGAGACCTCGTCCTCGTCTCCTGCCCGATCCACTCACACTGTCACATCAGTTTAAGTCAGAGCGGTCGGATCCTCGTGGTCTGGACTGCTGTGAAGAGACAAACACACTGAGGGGTCCGTCCCCGATGATGACTCTCTTCTATTACATTAACATTTCATTCTCTCAGTATAAAAGAGGAGGAATGTGTTTGCATTTGTATTTCTCTGTATTGATGAGTTTAATCTGTCAGTAGGCAGTAAGAAGGACCGTCAGGGTGGTGAAGTGCTGACGCTGATGCTTCAGGCTCTGCAGAGCATCGTCACCTCAGAAGCTCTACCTGCAGACAAAGTTCTGGTAAGACTGAGATCAGAAACCTTCAAGTCTGCCTCATCTTTCATGTCCCTGACTCACTGTATACACTCACTCAGTAAGTATAGAAACAAAAGAAATGAAAAGCAGTACACAAAAAACTATGAGTATGAGGTCATGGCGTGTTTAAAAAGTCAAGGCAAATTTTCCTAATGTGACATCTGTGTCGTTGGCTACAGAAACACGCCATTTTCTCCACCGTTTTTCTCCAGAAAATGAAAGTGTTCAACAGTATTAACAAAAAGACAGTGGGGCAGTTTTTCTGGAGCAAGATCTTTTAGTAGACCGGTATCATCTTTACTTGGTCCGTCAGGGATTTGTCAAAGATAACATTAAACATTGTACTACTAATAAAACCCAATGTTTTTGGAGATGATAGTTGCTTCTTCGTTTAAGAGAGTCTGAATAGAAGACCAAAACCAAAAAACATGGGAACAGTCGACCATTATTTCTCCACATTCCCTCCAGCAGCATGTTCAGACTTGTGTTTCGGCATGACGAAAGAGCGAATCAGGTTTTTCCAGCAGAAGTTTGAGACCGTTTTTCCGTGATGATTTCTTTATTAGTTTACTATTTCAGTGACTCTTGAACAACTTGTCTTGCTACTTTAAGGCTGGGGTCGACACAATTATGGGGAAGGCAAAAAACAAAACGAAAGAACAGCAAATGCACCCTCTTCCCATCAGCTCTCTCTGTCTTAAGCCTCCGGACGACCATGGACATATGCATGCACTTCATACAGTCATACACTGGTTTATTTAATCTGATTTCATTGTAGAGTTCCACGCAGCTTATTCACTCAGCCCCTCCTCATCCTGCTCACTCTCTGTTTATCGGACGACATCCGAGACAAGATTTAGCTGCTAACCACCCCACAGTCCCTCTTCAGACAGCAGTGGTTGACAGTTGAAGCGGCCTGAATTCGGCCAGTGCAAACCATCCCAGTGCTGGGTGCCACAGCAGACTGGTGTCCAGTGCTCGTACCGGTTATAACCTGTGTAACAGCAGCAACAGAAAGTTTGCTGCCTGCTTTCCTCCTGGCGAGGTGGTCTGTAGCAGTGGGGAGTGAGTCGGAGGACACACTCTGATTCGAGGCTCTAGCTAACGTTTGCTACAGTTGGCAGCCTTTGGCTCCAGTTAGCAGAATGCTAAACTGTTAGCAACATTTTCCCTCCATCTCTGAAACATTTTGCTGATGCTGATGAGCGTTTCACTTCGTTTATTGTCAGACTCTGTTCTTGATCAGTCCATCTTGCATTTTCGTGTTGCTCTGCAGTGTAGGCAGTTGTTGCCAATACTGAACAGCAACCTTCTCTGCAGGATTCTCCTCCATTGAATCAGGCTTTCACCAAAGACACATGCACGCCCATCTGCATTTGTAGAACAGCCAATAGAAATGCGGGCTCTCTGAAATGACCTGTGATTGTCTGAAGTCTCCCAGCGCTGGCTAGATTTTCTAAAGCCTGAAAACAGCCAGGAGGAGGAGTGTTTTATCTCAGACCTGTTAAATTACAATATGCTCAAAGTTTATGATGGAGCTTTTGCCCAGTGACGCCAAAATGAAACTGCCTACCCCGGCTTTAAACCAACAATTTGAATATCTTTGAATTTAATTGTTCTGTTGCTGTTTAATAGAAGTTGTTGAAATATTTAAAACCCAAATATCTCTGCTCCCTCTGACTGTGAAATCCTCTCCCTCAGATTCTGTTCGAGGCCACGGTGAAAGGTATTCCTCAGAGAGTTCTCGGCTCAGCCTCCTATCAAGTGGGGAAGATGGATGTGCTGAATGTGAGTGCGTCTCTCTCCACTGTCAGACACATATTCATATTCAGTTTTTTATGGAGATGCTTATAAAGAGGACGCTTTGTGTTTCCTTCCTCAGGGAACGCCGGCTCTGTTCCTCATCCTCCTGCTCTACAACAGCAGCATGCTGGCAGCGTACATAGAGGACGAGAGGTGAGTCTGATGTTTATTCATTTATTCATGTGAGATTTAATCTGAGCTCACAGCTGGAGTTTGTAAGAGAAGAGGGGAAATCTGTTCTCACATGGGTCATGATTCCCTCTTGAGCCTGAACATTCCTTATGATTGAACCACGGGATGGTGAAACGTAACGGTTGTCAACATGTGCACGGTGTTTAAGTTCTAAGCAGGTCTACGATGACTGAGCATGAGCGACCACAGATGGATCCAATCCAACCGGGCACCCCCTGGTTTAACAGCGTATGGACGCAATTTGGCCTTTATGAAACTGAGGAGAGATGTGAGATGGACGAGAGCTGCACTGTACGAACTAATATATTTTGGGAACATAGACATTAGATGCCATATTTCACATTTCCAGCCACTGTTGGAAAACAGCTGGTTGAAGTTGCTGCTCCGTCACACTTTAGTTTGTTTTCTTGTTCCTTCTTTGCAGCACTGGGAAATATCTTCCAGTTGACACATCTCTTTATTTTGTTTTAATAAAAGATAATCGAAGTAAATAAATCTGCTTCTTGGTGAGAAATAAATATATCATAGAAATGAAAAATTTTGATGCACCAAGATGTGTTCATAGTGGCATCGCAGCCGTCTGAGTCAGAATCATGAGGTGTGTGTGGATCAGAGCATGTGAGCGGAGCGGGTGAAAATTTCCGCTCCTCGCTCGCAGACCTGTCACTTTGCGCCACTCGTCCGCTCCGCTTGGTTCTGCGCATTCTTCGCTCCGCTCCATCATAAATTTTATCCCGCTCCACTTGCTCACCACTCCGCTAAAAAAAAACTGCGTCGTACTACCCTAACCTGTAATCTTCTATTCACAAATAAAACATGAGCTTGGTAGATTCTCCAGGGAAGCCCTCTCCCCGCAGTTAGGGACCGTTCTCCACGGTACCGCCGTCGGCAAGATGAAAATAAGTCAAAGTGTGGAGGAGACGGACCGGGTTAAGCGGACGACCTCTGGGGAAGCCCTCTTGCCTCTCCCTGCAGTTAGGGACTGTTCTCCAAGGTACCGCTGCTTCTCTTCTCAGTTTCTTTTCTGAAGTACACAGTAAACTCCATAGTTTTGAAAGAAAATAGTGTGGGTGTGCGCAGGTGCAAAGATGCCTTCTGGGTGGGGCATGAGCGACCGGAGCGAAATTGGAGCAAGAGATAAGGCTCCGCTCCACCTTTTTTTTTTTTTTTAAATAGCCGCTCCTCGCTCAACACAAAATCCTTCCGCTCCCCGCTCCGCTCACATACTCTGGTGTGGATGGATTATTGAATGGGCCGACCAGCCCTGGTGTTTGGTGCCCCCCTGACCTTCACCTGCAAAATGTTACTCAAATTAACACATAGCAGGATCAAAATGCACAAAACAACTACAAAGAGACACAAAATGACCTCAAAGAGACACTCGATGCCTAAAATAAGACATAGGACCAAGAAAACATGTAAAACAATTACAAAAAAGAAGCACAACTACCATCAAGTCTGTGTAGTGCTCCTGTGCAGGACAGGTGGTAGGGCCTTTTGCATGTCTTGCCCATTGTCACGTAATCTGCCCATGTATGTTAGGGCTGCTTGATTATGGAAAAAAATCATAATCAGGAGTTTGGCCCCCGATATGCGTGCACACACACACAGACCAACCTCTCTCGCTCTCCCTCTGCCATTTTCTGTACACTGTTTTTAAAATCTTCCTTGATCACCTGCCCCTGCATTATTCGTAGTTCACCTACTTGACTGGCTCGTGGAGTGAAGAGAGGAGGGGAGGGGAGGGGAGGGGAGGGGAGGGGGCGGTACTGCGCATGCGCGGCTTACGTAGAAGACGAAATAACATCTCCGGGTGTCCGTGACCAAAATTCGTTTACTCTTGATTTCATTAATTTTGAAATCGTTTGACCTCAAAATCGTAATTGCGATCACCAGATGATTAATTGCAGAGCCTGAATGCATGTAGAGATTCCCACCTCCGGTAGTTTAGTTTGATTTCTCCAGACCAAAGCAAAAAGATCTGTTGTTGCATTTTAGTTTTAGTTTGTAGTCTGTAAACAGCTGTCATTAAACAGTTTTGGTAAATGTCATTCTGCATCATCACTGCTACAGACCTTCAGTCCACTGACAGAGAGCGAGTCATGTTCAATGCACCTGAAACGATTACACACACTGATTTTAGATGCACAGTAACACATGGTCAATTAATAACTCCATTACACTCCAGTGTGATTAATATTTATGATTAAATGTCAAGTTGTTACAATCTTGGACTCAAGTTTACCACAGTTACAGGAAAAGCACCCATGAACAGTGTTTTAATGTGTTAGTGACAGTTTCCCAAACACGATCAGTTTTTCACTTCATGATCAAACTGCACGTCTGAAGCTGGTTCTCATCATAATTTAGTGTAGTTGTCCTGATAGTCATATATTCAACAGTGTTCAACCAGTGAGCTGCTGTTCGTCAGAATAACTGATAATCGTCACACAGCACTGTTACATTATTCAACCTGTGGAGAGTAGTGTTGTCATGAATTATTGTTTGGTGTCCTCTGGTGGTGTAACTATAAACTACAGGATGAGTTTGACTAAAAGGAATACTTCACCCCCTTAAATAGTCATGTGTGTATCAGTTACTCACCTGTGTTAGGTTGAATTTGAAACTAAAGAACTTGCATGTCTTCACGGTGAACGAAGAATCCAAAAACATCTTAAAGCAGTATAAAATATTTTTTGGTTCATGCTCTGACTTGATGTCTCTCCATCTGCAGGTTTTTTCAGTGCCTTCAGACGCTGGTGAGCTGCGGTCTGTCGGGCCCCACTTCCCCTCTGGCGTTTGGGGAGGCGGTGCTGGGCGCCATCGGGCGCAGCGCTGCGTCTGTGCAGAACAAGGAGCAGCTGTGGAGGATGTGGAGCGTGGTGGTCAGCTCGCTCACTGACACCATCACACAGGTAGACGGAGATGCGGGGAGAGTAACTCAAGCTGATCAACTTTGGTGTCATGATCAGTCAATATTTTGTATTGATTCGTGAGGGCGAAATGAACCTTCAGCAGTTGATATCTGAGTTATGAAGAGAAATTTGAGGTGACGAGGGCTGCCTGGCATCGGGAGTTTGGAGGGAGTACAGGGGATAAAATTGTCCCCAAAAAAACAGTTGGAAAACCCACCAAACACTCGACCCTACTGCGAATCTGCAGCAGATTGAGTGTACCACAAAACATTGGAGTAGCTGCTTCCTGCAGGGTGATGCGTTTCCTCTGACAGCCTTGTAACGTGAGCGTGCCAGCAGAGCACTACATTAACTCAACATTTTCAATCACTTCTTTTTACAGTCGAATGAGGTCAACCAAGGAGACGCTCTGGAGCACAACTTCAGCGCCATGCACTCTGCACTGATGTTCCCCGTCACACACCTGCTACATGGCGCACCGTTACAGCAGGTCTGTTGATCATTACACTGTCAACCTCTGTTGGTTTGTCCAGAATCCTGTTTTCACTTTAACCAACGGGCCTGATTGAGACCGCTGTGCTGCTTTGTTCAGGCGGCCCAGAAGTCGATGCTGTCTTCGTGGTCGAAGCTGTACAAAGTGTTCGCCCGCTGCTCTGCGCTGGTGGTCACAGCTGAGGAGAACATCTGCTGCGAGGAGCTCTGTGCAAAGATGACAGCAGCAGTAGAGAAAGATGCTCTGACGGTGAGTGGACGACAGAAAAACTGCTGTCACGGTGAAGCAGCTGTGAGCATAATGATATTATTTCTGTAGTTTATTTAACCAGAAAAAAACTCTTAAGATTAAAAATCTATAAAAATAGTTGTAATAATATATTACTGAACTGCTTCTGTGATATAAAATGACACTGCAATAATAGATTTTGGCAATTTGACGAATCTCCCACCCCTGGTTGCTTTTTAAAACTGGTAAAAGTGTATGTTTTAAATGTTTTGAAAACCTGCTTTAACATATCTGTGCTGTCTGATCCTTCAGGTTCCTTCGACATTAAACGCAGTTGCCAGTATCCTCCAGGTCGTGGTGGAGTGTGTGGACTTCTCCCCGTACACGCCTCACTTTCAGCAGAAGCTCAAGTGTAAGAAGTAAAGCTGACCTCATCAGTCCTCATATTTAGATTAAATGGAGACTTTAATCTTGTTACCTTTCTGTTTCCTCCAGCTCCTCACACTCCAGTAAACTGGATGAAAAAGAGGAACAAGGTCCTGGGGAATCTGTCCACCTTCCAGTCCCTGCTGGTCCAATGTCTGGAGGTTTATCTGGAGGCGCCGGAGGCCTCGTCTGAAGCCACAGGACTCGCCCTGGTCTCCATCCTGTCTGCTCTCTTCTCCAATCTCGTTCTCGCCAACACTGTCACGGAAGCTCTGACGTCTCTGATCCAACCTCTCACCCTCTTCTACAAACAAGCAGCCAGCGAAACGTCAAAATTCTCCTCACAGCTCCTGGGAAAGGTGGGATTCATGTCAGATGGATGCACGGTTTTTAAGCATTTTTACCTTGAAGCATTTTAAACCGTTTTCCCTTTTGTTCTCCTGCAGTTGGAGAAGCTTCTCAGTGACGTTCTCGGCTGCCTGCAGACCCGCTCCACTCTGGCGTACAACGACGAGCTGCTGGCTCTGCTTTCTCCACTGCTCTGTGTATTGTTTCCTCACAAGAGCAAGCACCTCCGCACCTCCGTCACCCAGTTCTGGAACTCCACCTTCGCCAACTCAGTCAGCCTCACTTACCCCGAAGAGATCAGGTGAAAATGTCCAGCTTATATTGTTGTCAGGTTTTCTGCAGGTGTGGCTCAGTGTCTGTCTCTAAGATCATGCTAACATACGGCTGTAGTGGAATGCAACAAAGAGAAAAGATTTTATTTTATGACAGACCAAATAAAGAGGAAATTACAGCAGTCTCATAGTTGCCATTTCCTTTCCACAGACCAATACTGAGCCAAGTGAAACTTAACACCCCGATCATCCTTCCTAGCTTTGAGGCTGTCAGTGTTCCTGATGAGCTCAGTGGACAATACTCAGTGAGTAGCTGTTACCTGTTCAGTGTCGTGGTCTGAGCTACGTTCACTGCTCTCTCTGTTCTTACTATCTGTGGCTGATGCTGTTTGTGTCTTCAGAGTGAGAGTTCCCAGTTGGAGACGAATCTCAGCGGGATGCCGGTGTCATCTGTGGGGAAGAGGGACTCTCTGCTGGGAAAAGCTGCTGAGCTGAAGGACAGGAGCTCCACCAAGACGTCCAAGCCAGTTGCTGTAAGTTTCGACTTGGACCAGACCAGGTTTCATGAGGGACATGTCATTATTATTGTGTACTAAATATCTGTCTGGGTCTGGTGTAGCAACAGAAAGTTTGCTTTCACTCAGCTCTGCAGCAACTGCTCCTCTAATCCATTGATCCGATCAGCTCTTATCGATCTGACCACAAATGATTGTAAGGATGTCTTGAGTGTTACGTACAACTGCTAAGGGGAAAAATAAAAGTCATGACAAGTTCAGCCTGTGTTGCATTCACGGACCCACAAAAACCTCAAATCAGAGATGGACACAGAATGATCACAAAGGGACGCACAAACACTAGAAAAAAGGACAAAGTCTGCTGATCTGCCCCCTCGTCCTTTGTCAGCTAATGCCACACATAAAACCAGTGTCTGACCTTTTTCTGTCGGCACTCTACATTTGTTGACGGGTCTGACAATGATTTTCTTTTCCAGTTTCTTTGCCACCGGCAACATGAATGTCTTTAAGATGGAGTTCTGTAAAAGATGTTTACCTTGTTTATGTAATGTTTCGGTAACATGGGAAATCTGCCATTCTGCAAATGAAGAAAATGTTTTGTAACTATGCAAAGGCAGTTACTGCACATTCTACTAGTCTGTTTTTCTTTGTTTCTAATTGCTCATCATCTGGCACTGTATGACTGGTTTCCATTGTGTTCCCATAAACAGACAAAGCTGGACTTTGGCTCTCCAAAGCCTCCTCGCAGAGAAGTTTTGGAGGAAGAAGCCTCCATCGACTTTGTCTTCATTCCTCCTGAGACGAAGGAGCGCGTTCTGACGGAGCACCAGAAGGAGGTGAAGAGGACTAAAAGGTCAGATTTGTCTTTTTGACTGTTTGTCTGTCAGAAAACACATTAATAAAGTGTCCATGCTGTCTTGTGTAGAGCTAACGTTATCTTTGGCACACAGGGTGGACATCCCCGCCATGTACAACAACCTTGATGCTTCTCTGGATACGACAGTTTTCACCCAGTACACACAGAGCCAAGAAGACTCTCAGTAAGTTATGAGCTCCCAGAATCAAGATAAATCCCCGCTCTCATTAAAAACGCAGTGTCTACATTACAAACCTGTTTTTTTCCACAGAGACAACGTGGCAACCCAACAAGCTGACAAGGTCACCACAGAGGCTCCTGAAAAGGTAATAAAACACACATCCACATCATGGGTGAAAAACAAAATCAGCACTGGCAGGAGAGACTCTGCTGGGAGCTGCTACTGTCCTGTTTTTATTCTGATGGGACAAAAACTCCTTCTACATTGTTACTGGCAGAGACCATGTGTTTTAGAGTTTCAGTCATAAATTCATTAATGGTACAAAAATCATTTGGAGCATGAATTGTGGCAGAGACAGGATTGTGCACCGGTTTGCACACTCCAAAGGATCTTTTGGGATGAAGTCATACTTGATATGCTTTATCAAACACACGCTAACTCGTATGACACCTAGCAATATCCAGAAGAGAGGTGGCAGCAGGCAAAGCGCGGGTATCACAAATCTTTTTCTTGCCAGCTACACCCCTCTAACTCTTCGTGGGGGATCCTGAGGAGTTCCAAGCCACAAGTGTAATCTCTCCAGTATGTTCTGGGTCTGAACCAAAGTGTCCTTACAGTTGGACGTGCCCAGTATATCTCCCCATGAGACATCCAAGAGGCATTTTGATGTCATTGAGGGGGTGTTTGTTGTGTTACACAACTTTTTAATCAGTTACGGTAACTCTCACAGTGCATGGGGGGAAAAAAAACAATAAATGATCAACATGAACATGTTTAATGGAGGTTGGATACAGTTTAAATACTCAGGACTTAATAGCCCTATCTCCCCAGGCCCTCTGTAGGACACAG